AACCATACCTGTTACCATGAGGCTGTCCTCCCATACTACCCACTTGTGGCAGCAAAATGACTTGAGACAGCTCTGCCTTATAGCTAAACAGAAGGAAATAAATATGGCTTGCTTCCCTCTATTTTCCCCTTCCCTCTGCCGCCCCACCAGCCACAGCCGGGACAGTCACCTGGAGCGTCCTTCTAGAGCTCGTTGTATTTCTTCCCACAACGAGCCTTACTCCTAGTATATTATAATTTACACAGTACAAGTAATTGTAACCCTGTGGGTTTGGCCCTCTATTAGAATTTGAGGGAAAGGTATTTTGTCCCTTTGGGGAAGCCATAGGACAGGACTGAGGAAAAGGACAGTCCTGAGGGAAAAGCAGTTCGGGGGGGGGAGATTTCTGAGGGAAAAATGGGAGACAGAAGCCATCTGGGTCCAAGGGCAGAGAAAAGAGTGACCTGAGAAGGGACCTCAAGAGAACTGCAACCTTCAGAAATCTGCAGCATCACCACGGGCAGCCAAGGCACTGCATGGCAGAGTGTGAGAGTTTGAGAAGGTTCCAGAGAGAAAAACAGTAAAAGACTCTAATCATTTTTTTAGTTCCAACTCCCCATTGTGTTGTAAGTTTGAGTTTGTATATGGATGTTCTGTTTTCATTCCCCATCCATCTTTGTTGAATCAAACCCTACTTCTGTTTTCCTTCTGTTTGGGTGTAGGTGATTAGAGGGCCTAGGAGTTGTGTTTGAGTTTTTCTTCTTCTTTATTTGTATACTGGCTATCCCTCTTGTTTGAAAGTGGAGATCAGAGGGCTGGAGGCACCTCTACTTTCTTTTTTCTTGTTACCCCTCCATTAACAAGGTCCCATAATTTCTTGGTGGGAGAAACTGGGATTACATAATCATTTATCAGAAAATATAGTAAACAATGCCTGCTGTCAAGAATAATTGCTGGAATTTCTGCACTGAAGTATTGACAGACACTTGGTGATTTACATATACTATCTGTTTTACCTGTATACCTTGTTAGTATTTCTTTAATATTCGGTTCTTGAGGGGTGGGGGGTGAGGAATGATTACAAAGCTGTATATACTTCCTTGATTTGGAAGACATTGAAAATCCTCAGCATGAACAGAAATAACTGCACACAAAAATGACAGCATTCACAGTAAATAGATAACAATTATAACTGTATTTTCCCAACTAAGTCACAGTGTGATGGAATTATGGAGGTAGATAATCTGTGGTGTTATGTAGTTATTAATCTGTGTTTAACATCAGCCTGTCATATTGCAATATAAATTTGACCTACTGCTTGTATGACCTTGGTTTATAACAGAATCTGTATCTGAATGCTTGGCAATGAAAACCAGCTACCTGATAGGAATCTAGGAATCCTGAATCTAGGAATTAGGTGATTGAAGTTATGCATATCTTGGCCAGTAAGTTCCAGGTAAAAAATATGTTACAGATCAAAGGCCAGTTGCCATACATTTCATGACTTATGAAGTACTGTGCAATAAGAATATATATTTTTTGTAATATTGTGGGATATCTCAGCAATAAAGTCAAACATCCTTTATCTGGGAGTCTCTGTTTGTATACCTTTTGCAGTTTAATTTTTCATAAGGAATCCAGTGCTCTGTCAGACAGTCTATATCCCCTAGATTGTACTCTGTCTTTGTGGTCTCTCTGCAGTCTCCTTCTCATGATTTAAAATTATCAGGTGAATCAACAGGTGGCCAGTGACCTTAAAAAACAGTCAGCTGATCCATGTGCTACACTTTGGAAGTGCCTTCCTAAGTAAATGGGAAGACTGGATAAGGGTTACAAAATGAGGAATTCCTGTGTGAAAAATATCTTGAGCCAGTAGGAATTCCAGTCTTGACTGCTATACTTAAACCTGCAGCCCAGGCAGGAAATCTATATCATACTGCCTTATATTCTGAAGTCCTTTCTAACGTAGCTACCTATGAAGGAATAATATCTTTCCTAGGAAGTATATAGCAGAGGGCTTCAGTATACAAACCTATAAGCAAGGAGATATCTGGGGCAAACTTTTTTTAACAGAAAGGTCTATATGCCGTCATCAGGAAGGTCTGTTTACTGTCCATTGTACTTTTCTTGCACATGATGACACAGCAGATGGAGCTCTCATCATGTGTTCAATGTTGTGGTTTGAAGAACTCAGATCACTGAACTCCATGAGTTTTTGAATAACCTATGAAACACTACATAAAAAACCCTCTATGTTATGATGCTTCATTTATCAACTAATTAATAATACTACATAGGTTTTACTGCTGCTATCCCTGGAAAAAAGCAAACAATGGGCAATATAGTCCAACAAGAGACTCACCCTCCTTCTTCAGAGTACTTGTGTCCAAATGCAAGGATGTCAGATGCTCGGCCACTTCCATCACAGACTACAACTGGAACTGGGGGAGTATCACGTAGGTATTCTAGGACAATAGAAATTACATTGGGTCCTCCTTCCACAATGAGAGCCACTACTGGAACCCCTTGCCCAATCCCTGTATTGAAATAAACAGAAACAAAACAAAAACAAAGCCAGCAAATCAAACAACAAAAAGAAGGAAACAAATTGAAATTATTAAGCCAAAGCAGCAGTCTTAACACCTGTGCAGTACTCAAAAGATATTATCTGCAGATGAAATAACAATGCATTAATTCATGAGGCTTCAAGAAAGGTTGCATATGTATGGTAGATAGTTTGGTAGCTAGCTATTGAATAAAAAGTGATTGCAATTTTCATATTGGCTACCCCTTTTAAATAAGGAGAGGCAAATGATATCTGAAGAGAAATATTGAAGGGCAGCCGTATGATAATGTCACAGCATAAAAAGCTGATCCTTCTCTCTTATGGTTACCATTGTCCTTCAGTCGTATAATTCAGCACCGAGTTAATACACAGCCTCCATGTGCACATGGAACTACCATGCATACAATAGCTCCTCCATTTATTCCAATGGTTGTTAACAGCTCTAAGCAGGCATAGAAACGAATGTGTGTATTTTTTTCTCCCGTTGAAGGCAATGGAAAATCCTGCTTATACATGCATTCCACTGGAGCACCTATGGAGTTATAGTTTAAGGATGTCATCTCTTAACTGTCTGCCATAACGGTTATCCCCATTAACACAATTATTCAGCACATGAAAATCTGACTTAAACAATTATGTATAAAAACATGTAGGGACACTTACATACTCTTTGCATTGAAAGGGCTGGAGTCCAAAATTACATACAAAGAGAAAAGAGTGAAAAAACTCACCACTAACTTCCAAGCCACTGCATATGTGGATGGGTGCCATGGATGAATTCCAGAGTTCATGAGTATTATTCTGGCATTGCCCAAAATCTCACTAATGGAGTCTTTAGGGTAACACTGTTGCTACCACATGCCATAAATGAAAACACCAGAGAAGTTACTGGGTTGAGCTAGTGTTTATTGAAATTTCAAAGCTTAATGGATAAAAAAATTAACTTCAAATCTAATTTTATTATTAGTCCAGGCCCAGAACAACTTTCAGTAGGTTCACCAGTATTTGGGCAGACCAGCCCCTGCTTAAAGCTTAGCTGGGTACAATTTGTATGCCTTGTTTTCCATTAGCAGTGCATCAAACCTGTGTTGAGAGATGTTGTTCATCAACACGATTCCCCTACACTGGTTAGTGTGCCAAACACTTGGACTGTTTAGCCTGCAGTGTCTGGATTGGTCATCTCTCTCCATCCACAGATGCCTCAGGGACCTTGCCAATCTAAATTAATTGATAAAATATCTGACCTGCACTAATTTTGCCTACCTTAGCTAAGGCCTCACATGCATAACTAGGCCTGTTTAGCTAACTTACAACTCTCATCCCAAAGATCAGTATGAAGTAGGTGAAAAAGGAGAACCTCTCCAGGTCAATTTGAAAGAAGTGTCCATAACGCCTTCTCAGCTTGAGGTGACTGATTAATCTCACACAGATCAGGAGGGTCAATCTGATCTGACTGTTGTGAGCAGTGAGATAAGCTTCTGTCACTCTGAATCCAATTGGTCCAGGATAGCCCAACAACAACAGCAAGCTGTCTTATAATATGGGCTTCTTTGGCCCCGGTCACACGGGAGGCTTTGATCTGCAAGAGGGACGGATCGGGGGCACATCAAGCAGGCGCGATCACACCGCAACATCTGGGAAGTGGCATGCACCCGTCCCCAATCTGTCTCTTCTGGCAGAAGATGCAGATCAAAAAAACCCACAAATTACGAAACACTAGTACTTACCGAAAAATCCGCTGCAGGGGCGGACGTGTGATCGATGGCGTGCCCGTCTCTCCCGCAGTATGCGAGCTCCTGCCGAACTGCGCATGCACATGCATGCATACCGGGCTCGCCTTGCTCTGCGGTCTGTGGCTTCCCCTCAGCATCTGATTGTGCTGGGGAGGAACTGCGCGGCGGCTGGGGGGGATCTGTCTGATCCCGCCGCCGCGCTTCTCTTTTGGTGCGGCTCAAAAAGGCTGCACTTTGGCTGTGCTTATTCCCCCCAGTGTGACCGGGGCCTTTATATTCCAAATAAGGCAGTAGCAGGAAACAACAGATGCCATTCAACTGAGATCCTATCTTTCTTATGATACCTATATCAACGTGTGCCCATCATCTCAGTTTAACTGGCAAGGCCATTTAGGAATCAAAATGGGTATCACAAAAAATATTGTACTGTAACAGGTGAATCCCCCTGTAAGGGAGGCATTCCTTTTAACACAGGCACTTGGAAAAGAAAGATCTATTTGCTTGTTCCAAAGCAATGCATTCATCTAAACCACTAAATCACAGGGCTATATTGAGATGGCTACTCTGTTCAATATCCAGTCTCTATAGGTTACAGCACTCTTACTGAAGTCAGAAGTTTATTTATTTCCAGGTGTCAGGTGAAAACCTTGTGTCCCAGCCAAACACCACTCATGTTTATCTTTTAAGATTTTTATTTAAAATCACTCTGTGAGGCAAAGCACCCTGATTTCCCCTCAAGGGTTAACACGAATATTAGCAGGCCTGCTCCAGCTTGCAGGTGTCTGTAATTGGGCCTCCCTGCCTGCACTACCCTTATCTTTTTCAAGGCTGGATTCAAGAATATGGAAATTGGCTAACTGTGAGAACTTGTGCTCAGTCCTGTAGCTAAATGGGAGGGGGGAAGCAGGAAGGGATGTCATCATCTTCTGGATGGTTCCATCAAGTGAGCTCCCTGATTGGGGTTGGGGAAATGACTTGGTGCCAGATGTCAAAGACTATAATTAAATCATAGGCAAGAGAAAAGCCATGCTAACTTTGAAATTTGACGGGACAGTGGCTCTGACTATGTTATGCTTCATTGTGATGGACTGCTGCATAGAGAACACTTAAGCCTCTAGCTTGGACTCTTATATTCTAAGAAGGTGTGCCAATGCCAGGTATGGAATTATTAGGCAAAAATTTAGCCTTTGTTGTTTTCTTGCTATTAGATTGCAGAGACTGTGTTACCTAGTTATATTTTTGTTAAGTAATAAACCTTTATGGATTTTACAAAGGTCTGGTTTCTTGTGTGCAGGTAACCACAAAGACTCACAGGTCTGAGCACTGCTTACTTGCCTAAGGGGTAATGGCTTGACACACTCTAATCATTCCTGAAATGAGTAAATATGAAAGAATCACCATGATATAAAATATACTTGCATGTGTAAATGATATCAGAAACAGTTATACATCATTACTTATCCATTATCCTATCTAAAGACTGAAATATGAAACACGATTTCTGAGATTCTCACCAAAGTACTTTCAGAAAGATTAGATAGTTTCATGCAACCCACATCTGGGAGATTCAGGGATGTTTTGGGTGTGGCTTGCTTATATAGGCTCAATTATGTGAAACCTACATGACCATAACAAAACCTTCCAATTTGTCACTTCTGATGGTATGAAGTGAATAGCTTCTCTGAGCTTAGAAGAAATTTCCCATAGGGAAATATGTATCAAAACTGAACTATTAGATCAACTTGTTCAGAGATTTTTCTGGGCATCAGTCCATGTATTCAAAGTATCCCTTTCAAGGATAGGACATAAAGTACGTAGCTGAGAAAAATAAAAGTTGCACGTTTTGCAAATTTGAAAACTAAAGCAAATTGTCAGACATGCTGTTTGTTCAACCACTATCTCTAACAGTCAAGAGTTCATGGCAGTACTGTAAAATCAAAGAGAACGTATTTAAAGTGAATGGCCAATGTTAATCGCCATGAAAAGATACGATAAAACACAATATACTTTCAACACTATGATAGTCAAAAACATTTTCCCCTCACATCTAGTAAACATAAATACATGTGTTCTTGGCCTTACTAATATTAAAATACCCTGTTTATTTTCATTGGGGAACTTCTGTGAAGGCAAAACCAGATAGTATGAAAAACAGAAGGCTGCCACAATAATGGCAGTCCTATCGAAGAGTCTCCTCTTGTCTAATGGGTAACAAATCTTGTCATATGACTTGATATTCAGAATGTCCCTCTTCCTCCTCTACATTTTTGCATGCTACTGGCAGAGGGTCCTGAACTGACTGGCCCAAATCTTGGAAGTGAAGCAGGGTCATAAGAATATAAGAAGAGCCTTGCTAGATTGGACCAGTGGTCCATCTATGTTAGCATCCTGGCTAACCAGTTCCTCTGGAGGTTCTACACAGAGCATAGAGGCTGAGGCCTTCCCCTAATGTTGCCTGATATTCAGAGGTTTACTGCCTCTGAATGTGGAGGCTCCCCTTTAGTCACCATGGCTAGTAGCCACTGATAAACCTATCCTCCATTAATCTGTTTTAGCCCCTTTTGTTGCAGAATTATGGCCTGTATTGTGCCTTAGTCCTCTGTTAAACCTATGTTACTTTAATTTCTATAGTAATTACATTGAGTCAGTTCTGGTCAGTTCTAGTTTGGCCTGCATCACATTCATGGTAGTACTACATGATAAGTACATCAGTAGGTACATTAGCTGATATAGGTCCAACAGTTCCGTGTGAGACCTTGGTGGCTATTCTAGAATGTTTTGAGTTTTATACAAGTGCACTATTTTAAGTATTGGTTTTGCGCTGAAATATTCTATGTTGAATATTGAAATTCTACAAAGTGCTTTCTGTCTTAATAGTGTATAATGGAATAAATTGAGCTTTGTTTAAGAACCATTGTCTCGCTCTAGACTAGATTCAGTCCTTTGCCAGTCTCCACCCAACGGATGTATGAACTCAGGGGAACTGGGGAGTCCCAGGAATCCCTGGCCCCCAGAATCCCTCAACACCTTTTAAGTCTGTCTATGCCTGTGACCATAAATACAGGTGAGCTTTGGTTAGTACTTGGATAGAAGACCACCAAGGATGTCCAGGGTTGCTATGCAGATGAAGACAAGGGCAAACTATCTCTGAACATCTCTTGCCTTACAAACTCTACCGGGTTACCATAAATTGGTTGCAGCTCTAGCAGGAAAATGTAGAACATCATGACACTGGGCA